CCAAATAAAATGAACCCAAATGAGCAAAACCAAAGATGCCCAGGCAGAGACTTTTAGAAGTAAAGATGCAGAAAAGCCTCTTGGAACCATCTCGAGATAATTTCAACCTGCAAGAGGGAGAACCACTCACATCAGAACTACTTGAACCGAGACTACAGTAAAATGGAGGGTACACGATGCGGCTCCAGGGCACAGGGGCAGAGACCTGGGAACACACCCGCAAAAATACGCCACCTGGTGCAAACAGAGGTGCAGAGACAATGGAATGGAATAGAGACGGTCTTTCCTACAAATGGAGCCACAAGGGTTGAATAAACCATCCGATGAGCCCTTAAACCACCCCCAGCCCGGACAAGCTTTGGCCTAAGACTCAGTACTTACATTAAAAAAATTTCAAAATAGAAACCAATAAATAAATAAAACTGTCACAAAAAATAGGAGAAAAATCTTTGGGATTTAAGTCTGGGCAAATAACTTTTCTACCTCATACTTAAAACATAAGGCATAAAAGGAAAACCGATATGTTGAACTTCATCAAATTTAAAAAATTTTGGTTCTGTAAAACAGCTTGTTAAATGAATTTAAAAGACAAGGTGTATAGTGGTGGAAAATATTTGCAAAGCACACATTCAAAAAAGAATGCATAGTATCTAGAATATTTAAAGAACTCTCATCAGTGGAAAAAAAGGTACGCATATGGCAACCGAACACATGAAAAAATCTTAACCATCAGAGAAATGCAAATTAAGACGGCAAAGAGCGATCACTGTGCACCTTCAGAGGCCAAAATAAAAATATCGACGACTCCAAGTGTGGAGAAGCACAGGGAGAAACTGCACTGCTCACGTACTGCTGACGAGGATCCAAAGGAGTGCGGCACCACCGTGCGGGAAGCAACCCAGTAGCTCCTTCAGGAGGCAGCCATATGATCCAGCAATTGTTCTCCTGGGCATGGATCCCAGAAACATGCAAACCTATTTTCACACACAGACCTGTGCAGGAATGTTTATAGTGCTGTATTTCTATTAACCAAAAGCTAGAAGCGGCCCAGATGTCCTTCAGTGGTGAATGATAAAACAAACCATGGTACATTGGCACCGCGGAATATTACTCAGCAGTAAGAAGGGAAAAGCTACAGGTGCACATAACAACCTCAGGGCACTGCCAGAGGATTATGCTGAGTGGCAAAGCAGTCACCAAGGCAGCGTGCTGTCTGAGTCTATTTATGCAACATCCTTGAAGTGACAGATTTACCTAAGCGAAGAGCAGATGACTGGAATTAGTGGTCGCCAGGGGTCAGGATGGAGATAGAGGGTGAGGAACATGGCAGTGTTTGTAAAGGGACTAAAGAGTGGACCGACAAAGACTGTCCCTGGTCAAGTTCTGTGTAGTATCAAGGTCCACATTCTGAATATAATGCTAGAGGATAGTTTGCAAGATGACACCATAGGCACACTAAGCCAAGGGAACACAGGGATTTTTATCACTGACCTAGTGTCTGTCAGGTTCCCCAGTGCGGGGCTGACGTGTAAACTGACTTCCTGAACTAGGTTAAAATTCAAACCATCTGAAGATTAGAGCTAGGGCGCCTCGCTAAATAGTGCTGTTTCTCTGCAGCTGCGAGCCTATAGAATCGGTGGGCTTCTAGGATTGGAGCAAAAACACAGGCTTGAAGTTGTCTTTAAGACTTTTAGGGGTCGGGGATACAGCTCAGTGGGCACAGGGCCTGCCTGGCAAGTGCGAGATTATGAGTTTGATTCCTAGTACAAAAAAAAAAAAAAAAAAAAAAAAAAAAAAAAAAACCACAAACAGGGATTCAGGAGTGGGGATTCTGGAAGAAAAGCAAGCCCAACGTTGAAAGGGCCCAGTAAATCTGGGCAACTCTGACTCTGTCTATGGCTCCAAGTTCCTCAAAATGATTATTTCTTTCTACCTATCTTTGTTTCTTCTATCCTACTTTAAATGTGCAGATCATAGAATTCCTGCCTCCTCTGCCCTCATCCTTCTCTTCCTCCTTTCTGTCATCTTAATTTTCCTTTCCCTCTCCCTGCCTCTCCCTTCTCACCTTCCCTCCACCCTCCCTTCCCTCTGCTCTCCCTCCTTCTCTCCTGCTCTCCTGAGGCACCTTAAGCTCACACACATGAATTTTTCGGAGGCCAGGAACCCAGGGAGACTTCCAGAAAGGGCTCCAGCAGACTGGCGTCAGCGGCCACCTCAGCCACCAGCAGCAGCAGGTGATAGATGACGGAAATACATCACGGGGCTGTCCGGCTGACAGCAGCTAAGGTAATATGTCAAGGTACCAGCCCCGGGATGATGAACATCGCTCATAGATCAGAACACCATCATGCTGATTACACTCCAGCACCGAGTGTCAGGCTGGCGCGGGGCGTGATGGACGGTGGGGAGCTGTCACCAGGCCGATGGCCCGTTCCCAGCACAACATTCATATCCAGGCTATGATTTAGGGCCGCAGCCCAGACTCCTCCCAAGCTGCACACACAGCAAAAGTGAACACTTTCCTTTCTGCTCTGGGCAGAAGTTTAGGAAAAGAAATACTTGGAGAACATGGCTTCAAGGTCAAGGGCTTGGGAATCAGACAGAGCTGGCTTCGAATCCCAGTTCTCCATCTTAAAAGATGTGTGATCTGAGGAGAGATTTCCCTCCTTCCTGAAGCTATCGCCTTAGCTGTGGAGGAAGATTAGCCCAGCCTCCCAGGGTTAAAGCCAGGCTCATGCAATGTAATAATGCAGGCCAGCGGGCGGCACAGAGCTGGGCCCAGGCTCGGGGCCCACGATGGCCCGTGCACCGTGCACACAACAGGGCCGTGGTGCCGCCCTCCTCCCCGGCCTTCCCAGCAGACAGAGAGGCGCAGGGCAGCCTTTCCCCGCCGTTACCGCGCTCTGCCTCCTTCTCCTCCCAGTGGCTCCAGGGTACCGTCCGAGGACACCACCTGTCTTTCAGCCTCTCTGCCTGGCAATCCACCTCCCCTTCATTCGTCACTTCGCCGTTGGCAGCTAAGCTCCCACTGGAAGCTGGAACGCTGTCCTGGCGGCCTTCTTATTGTTTTATTTGACATCTCTTTGTCTGATAGTAAAATTAAAGGTTTTCTCCTAAGGTAACTGTCTGCAGTGTCTGATTTTGTTAATGTTCTTGGCTGATTTGTCTGCTTGGGATGTTCCTCTTTTTCTTTCAACATTGTGGGAACTTTTCCCGTTTAATGTGATTAACTTTTTGTCATATCTGTTGCAAATATGTTTCTCAACTTGCCATTGGCTTTTCTATTTTTGTAGTTTATTTTTAAATATATATATTTAGAAATTTCGTGCGGGCAACTCTGTTCACAATTTCCTTGGTGTTTTCTTCAATTGCCCTTCGGTTTAGACAGGAATTACTCAAATGTGCACCTGTTTTTGTCTATTATGTAATTTATTATGTTTAATTCTATAATTTATCTGCAATTTACTTAATAAAGATCTAAGACGGTTTTCTCCCCAAACATCAGTTTCCTCAATACCATTTATTCTAACCCGTTCCTGTTGATTGAAAATGCTTCTCCATCTAGTGTCACTTTTAAGGCCATGCTACGACTGCCGAGAGTGGTCACCTAAGTGTCATGGACGCTGGCTGGTCCTTGAGCAGTTCCACGCAACACAGTGCGAAGGCTTTGAAACATTGTAATATATGCTGAAGGAAATCCTGTCCTGTTCTTTCAGAAAACTCATAGCTATTTTTAACTTGTTGTTCTTCAAGATACATTTGTAGACTTATATTGTCCAATTACCAAAAGTTTCCATCGAGACTTTAATTAGATATTTTTTTTAGATTAATGTATTAATTCAGGAAAAACTAGCATTCTTTCATGGTTTCTTTCCCCTAACTGTGAGCGTGTTCCGTTTCTCCATTGATTCAAATCTTCTCTTTCACAAAACTAATAAAGTTCTACGGCTTCCTGCGTGACCATCCCACACGATTCTCACTGAAGTAGGTTAGGTTTTGTTTGCTTCTACTTTCAAGTGAGTTACTGTGGATATATAAGAATGTTCTTGATTTTCCTATGTTTATTCTGTATCGGGGAGGAAAATATATTCTGTACCCATATTTCCAGTGATGAATAAACAGTAAAATCAGACAGAGGGAAAACCAAGACAGTGCCCAGGAACTCAGTGGTCTCCTCACTGTGGCTCGGGAATCACGGGGGTTCTGGCCAGAAAGGGGTAGTGGGCACGAGATAAAGGGTGAAGTGCAGACAGGAGAGCGGACAGAGGGACAGAGGGACAGAAGACCCACTCAATGCCAGGCATGGCGGTGAATCCACTGTGGTAGCTTTGAAGAGAGGAGCTAAAATCACACAGGAACTTCCAGGACACTTTGTACGTAGCTGAATGTGTAACGCCTGAGTGTGACTAGCTTTTTAAAGATAGCCATGTCTTGGGGCTGGGGATTTAGCTCACCGGCATAAGTGCCTGCCTTGCAAGCGTGTGGTCATGAGTTTGATCCCTGGTACCGATTAAAAAAAAAAAAAAAAGATAGCCATGTCCGCAATCAGTCCCCACATCCTTCTTCAAGGAATGAAATCGTGATTGCCTTGTAGAGTCTCTCTGTGCTGAAACTGAACCGTACAGCACCCTGCAATGTTTAGGGTGACCATTTGACCCTTAACCAAGTTCTTTGATAAATTCTAAGAGTTCGGGTTCAGTGGCACAGCACCTACCTGGCAAGTGTGGGGTCCTGAGTTTGATTCCTGATATGAAAAGAAAGAAAGAAAGAAAGAAAGAAAGAAAGAGAAATTCTGAAGTTTTTCTATTGTTTCTTCTTGCTTTCTAGATATGTGATTCTAGAACCTAAAACCAATCATAGTTTTCTCTTATTTTCAATAGTTAATTGCTTTTCTTTCTGCTTTTTTATATCAGCTAGAAGTTTTCAAAAGATATTGATTTCAAAGATATCTTTGTCTTATTTCTTTTTTAAAATAAGATTTGTTAAATCAGGTTAGAGGAATATCATTTATTCTTAAGATTTTTGAGGTGTGTGTGGAGAGAGAGAGAGAGAGCAGAAAGTCATTTTTCTTCAAGAATGGCATCTGCACGGTCACTTCTGAGGAAGGCAGATACATTTCCATGACAACTGCTGCCATCACCACTTTGGACTCTGGCTGTGATGCATACAGCACACAAGAGGGGTCAGGCCACATGGAGAGCGCACTCGTGGCAACACACCTTGTCCAAGAGGCTCCCGAAAGAGGGGACCAGAGCCGTGGCTTTGCCTCCGTGGAAGCAAGCAGGAATGGACCCTGGAAAGGCTGCTGCTTCTCTCTTGAACCCTAGAAAATTCGCCTGCCAAGGCATTTTGGTTCTGAGGTTCTCAGATGTTTATCCCATGTACTCCAGCAAGAAAGAGCCAAGCTCTTGGGAGAATTAGGAAGGTGACACGGGCACCGTGGGCTGGCAGCAGCTCATATGATTTATTATCATATTTTATACAGAACTAAGGGACACAAGAAGTCATCAACAGTGAAAGAGGGAGAAAAGCTCACCCTCTGTCATGATCATCACGTGCGCTAGACACGCAGCTGGTCACCACACCACACCCCGCAGGTGGGCACGACTACTGCGCCTGCATGAAAAATAAGCTTACGAGGGAGATGCCTCTGTCCCTCCTTCCCTGCCCTCCTCCTCCTCTTCTCTCTCCCTGCTCTTTTCTCGCTTTTCCCCGTCTCCTGCCTCTTCCCTCCCTCTTCTTCCCGTCTCCCTGGCTTGAACTCTCTTCACTTCTTTACCTGTTTTCTTCTCTCGTCTTTTCAACTCTTTCTCATGCTCGTCTCTCCCCTCCTCCTCCGCTTCCTTCTCTGCTCACAGCTCAGATTCCCTGTGTGTCCTGGCTCTGGCTCTGGCTCTGGCTCTGGCTCTCCCCCCTCTGCCCAGGGAAGAAAGGCTGGAGCCAGGTGCTTCTGCATCTAAGTCCTGCTCACACGTCTGCCTCCCTGCTTGCCACACACAGAAGCGCACACAGGCACACACACCCCAGGTGCTCACACATTCCCTCCACCTGGCCTGGCTGCCTCCTCCGAGCCCCTGAAATAAGCCAGGCCCTCTCTCAGGCTTCTGACCCCATTCTTGGCCGAAGCTCCTCTCCTCTTCACCTTGACGCATCCCAGGTTCCTAAGCTGGGCACAAGCTCTCCGTCCTCTGAGAAACCTTCCTGGGCCCCCAAGCCTCAGCACCTTCCCTTCCCTAAGCCCCCACAGAGCTGCAGGGTTCCAGCACTACAGGGTCCTGACACTTGCCCAGCCCGGCATCTTCCCAACTGAAACATCTGGGAAGCCGATGCCTCACGTGTGGCTGTACAGCGAGCAAGCCCTGCTGGCTTTGATTGGTAGGAAGAAATCAAAGTGCATCTTTGGGGATTCAGCCACACCCCTTCCTCATCCCCCCCCCAACTACAGTGTGGCCCTCTCAGAGTCGGGAACCACAGCCCAGCATTGCGTGCACATGCACACGTGTGTGGATCCGTGTGTGCATATGCATGTGTGTGTGTTGCCCATGCTGCATGACACACCAGCCAAGCATACAGTAAGCGCGGGACTTGGGTGCATGAGTGGTTAGGCAGACAGGGCGAGCAAATGAGTTGTGAACAAATCAGTGACTTGGATTGTGGAGCAAATGAATGATGATGACAGCAGAAGCAAATTGTCCAGCTGCTGATTCTGTGACTGTGGTGGGTAAGAAATGCCAATGACGCATCTTTTCAGCCATGCTCCCTTTTTTAAAGCTGGGAAACTTACACGGTGAAGTTCAGCGCTGGAGCCTAGGTCCGGAGGAGGGGAGATCACAGTGCTGGGCTCCCCGGGCCTCTCCACGCTGTTCAAGGACGGATGACATCGTGGATGGTCACGCGCTGTGAGCTCCCCAGGGTGGTGCATGCCACCTGCGGCTCCCTTTAAAGTCAGTCTGAGCCTGAGGGCAGTGGATGGGGGGCCAGGCCTCAGTCTGCCCCTGGATGGAGCCCACAGCTGATGCTGGTGCTGCCCGTGCCATGCCCTGGCTTCCCTCCATACCCCAGCCCCTGGCCTCCCAGGAGCAAACTGGGAAAAGCTGTCCCCATAGCATGTCACCCACAGGAGAGTGGCGGTGCCCCTCGTACCCTCCCACACACCCTCTGGACTGTGTTTTGCTGAAGCAAACACCCTGCCCTATGGAGGAAATGGAAAGCTTGCAGCCTGATTCACACTTGCCAACACTCAGAAAGTCCCCAAAACACCCTTCACTGTGGGGACCCCCTGGCCCAGCCGCCCCAGGTGCTTGTTTGGGAAGGGCATTCCTGTTTGCTAACAAGAGCCCACGTGGATGGCCCAGGCAGGGAGCCCTGTGGGGTGGCCCCTCTCGCCACAGCCATGACAGCTAAGAGGTCACTAGAGCGTGGCCCCCAAAGGTCAGCGGAACCCGACATTTCCAAGCACTTCATAGCCTGTGGAAACATTTCGCTAAACAAAAGCCCTCAACAGCCAGTAGAGCAGCCTGTGGTAACACGGCAAAGAATCCCAAATCTCGCTACCCACTCCCACCTACACAGTTCTGAAGCATTTCTACAAACTGCTAGCCCAGTATCCAAAACAGATCTTTTTCTAAGTTGGGTAAATGAGGCCCAAAGAGAAAAGAACACATGGCCAAAATGAGGCAGCTTATGAGGGGTCAGAAGAGGACTGGACTCCTGCTCTGCCAGCCTCAGCCCCGTGCAGCGGCAGAAGGGGTGCACTTGTGAAAATGAACCTTGGAGTTAGAGCAGGGTCAGGAAGAGACACCCATAGGTGCCCTCAGGTCTACCACGTGGACATGGGGTGCCATCCCCAGGTCTCGCTCCTAACCACTGACTTGTGGGAGACCTTGGTGTCCCATGTCACTCCTGGGACAAGGTGCAGAACTTCTGCCAGACTTTCGCCAGTGACTGACACATGACCTCAGGATCCTGGCTTCCTCCTCTGGGAGGGAAGGAGGAAAGTCATGGTGATTGTGCAAAATGGGAAAAGGGAGAGAGAGTCTATCCAGGAAGGAGAGCACTGGGATCAGCAAGCAGGTACACAGCTGTGGCTGCCTGGCATGCAGGGAGTGGGCACAAGGGCATTTCTGAGACCAGGAGCCTCCGTGTGAACTTGCTGGGTTGTTTACAAGCAGTGACATCAATCCTTCCTCACCTTTGCCCTCCCTGCTCTGTATCTTCAAGGAAATCTGTTTCACCCACGAATGCTCTGGGCCTGCATGCTGTTCTATGGAAAATGAGACGTGTTTTCCATCTGGGTCCTCATGGGGAGAGATCATGACAGCGCATGAGAACTTAAGAGCCGGAGGCTGGGGGGCCCAACTGAATGTGGCATCCCAGAAAGTCGCAGGAGCCTGGGGGGAGGGGTCCCTGGATGTCCACAAGGGAGGAATTTTGGGATCTGAGCTAATCTCACCTTGATCTCAATGGGCAGAAAAGACACCAAATAATATATTACCATTAAACTTAAATGATTTTAATCCTATGAAGGGTTTATATAGAAAAACTAAAAGAGGAAGACAGTGGTCATCAAATTTCAGTGTTGCCTAAGTAAAATCTCAGGAACATGCTGTTCAAGGTGACAGTTCATAGCCCTGTGTCACAGGTTTTGAGGCACAGGGATCCAAACCCTGGGAGAAGGAAGAGACATGGTCCTAGCCATTGTGGAACTAAACTGGTTCCACATCACTTCCAATAGCAGGAGTTCATTGCCGGCCTCAGCCCAGCACAGCTCCTGTTGGTCAAGAACCACAGACCCGGCACAGAACAGCCGAGAGCTGCTCACTTTGCCAGAGGACCTGAGCTCCTGACAGCCAGCTCCACGCTCATGGGTACAGTGGTTCTCTGCCAATGCCGGCTGCTGGGCTCCTGGCTGATTCGCGCTCTTAAGGCCTGCAGGGCATGCCTGAGCTCACGGTGCCTACTGTCAGCCTGAGTTCAGACCCTGGGTGCTTTCCTGTAGGGACCCGCTATTTCATCTGTCTGTCTCTGCCGCTGTTGGTCCCTCTGGACATGATGTTGATCAGCCTCACCTTCATGACCTCATCCAACTCTATCACTTCCAAGCACCATCCACACACGGATTTGGGGCTGGTTCTAGAGGATGCATTCAAGTCAAAGCAGTGCATTTCTCCTCGGACTTCCTTCGGGCACAGTTTGGTCGGAAGCAAATGAGACGAGCAGTGTTGGAAGACACAGGAAAGGATTTCTTCAAAACAGCAGATCATGACCTGGGATGCCAGCCCTAGACAGAAACCAAAGGGTCAAGAAGCACTTGCTGGACTTCAGCCCAGTGAGGGCCAGAAAATATTCTGGGGTTTTCACAAGACTCACCAAAAAAGAAATTAGAGAAACAAAAAGTAATCAGTTTATTCTTTCATCCATTCTGCAGACCTGTACTGAGCCCCTTCCAAATCAGGACACATGCGTACCTGATCTCAGCCCTTTCTTAAAAGCAGTGTCCCAGACGGTGGGTTTGGTCCTTGAAGTCTAATGAGATTGTGAGCAGCAGAAACGATGGGGGGGGGGGGAGGCTGAGCAGGGAAGAGCCTGAACTGAAGCAAAAGTCTCCAGAGCCAATGAGTTGGTCAAGCTAAGTGGACCAGAGGCCCATGGGAATTCTTGCTCATCCCACAGCCCTTCTTTGCTCTGCCTGGGCCTGGGCTCATTGTCAGTGGCTGGAGCCCAGATTATAATTCCAGAGATGCACAGGAGCCTCAAGGAGGTGGACACTTCTTGCAAAGTGCTTGGGGCCAGATGCGGCGGTTGTAAGACAACCTCATCTCCAAGCAAAGGAGACCCTGTGCCTCTGGCAACCTCAGCGGCTCATCCATGCAGTGGGGAACCTGTCCCCTCCTTCAGGCTAGTCGAGTAACTTGGAAGCAAACATCTGAATACACAAAAGCAGCCAACAGCAGTATCAGAGAGGTACAGCAGCCATCCCGGGTCACACAGCTCACAAGTGATGGTTTCCGAGAACCCAGGGGAAGATGACATGAAGGTCACTGCATCAACATTTAGTCACATCGCATTCTCAGACAACTCAGTAATTCCCACCAAAGGATGTTCAGAATCCCCCAGGGAAGGCCAGCCCAGCCTGGGATTCACAGATCCGAAATGCACAGCAAGCTGCTGAGAGCTGGAAAGAGGGGTGATGGGAGAGGTAGGCGAACCTCCAGTTTCTCTTCAGGCCTGTGCTACCTGACAACCTCAGGCTATGGAAAGCAATGTGAGCCACTGCCATGGCTCCCCCGGCTACCCTACCCCCAGTCTTCATCACCTGCCCCACACTATGGACAACACCGGTTCTTGAGGATTCTTATTATTATTTTGCACATCTTGGCACCAGCACAGGCACGCCCAGGGCCCCTGCACGTCTTCGGCAAGGACCTGGTATGCAGATCCAGGGTCACCTGAATTAGGCAGAGGGGTAGGGAGCCCAGAGTCCAGCTCTGGAGGAAGCTGGGCAGTGAGGATTGCATCTGGTCCGTCCTCTCCCATCTGCAGCTCCAGTTTATACTCATGTGTGCTGTGGGAAATGAGAGGAACTAACATGGCTAGCATCAGTCTTGGACACGGCTTTAGTTTCTTTTTTAAAAACACGTGATCCAGACCAGGACGATTTCTATCCTTTTTCAAACAAAGAGGTCAGAGTGACCTGGCAGCTTCCTGGAGAACATGAGGTTTGCTGAGGGCATCGTCTGCCAGGCCGAGGGTCCCCAAGGCCACTCCCAGAGCAGCAGGACTTTGGCTCTTGCAGAAAAACAAACCTAAATTTCAACAGCTCAGAAGACCCTTGAAACCCAGGCAGCATCTTTCTTATTTCTTTCCTGGGATTTTAGGGCCTCTTCTTCCCCACCCCCACCCCACCCCAGAGCCCAGTGCTTCTAGAATCTCCTGGACTCTGAGACTGTCACAAGCAGAGCATGGATTCAAGGATGGAGATCTGGCAGCAGGATTTGTTTTTGAGACCCCCATGGAGTAGGGAACAGGAACGTCAATAGTTGGCGCTGGAGAAATTTTAAATGTTTTTATTAAAGTTGATCAAAATTGATGTACCAATTAGCAAGCATCGGTTCAGACCTATTCCAGTCACGATGCAGGATTCAAATGAAGCCTCCGGCTAAGTTCTTAATGGCCACTGTGGGAAGACGAGACAGGAACAGCAGACGACACTGTGTGAGCATCTTAATCATCTATAAAGGAAACTGGCTCTGCTATGTGTGACCTTGAGAGACTGTTGTGGCCTCGAGGAGGCTCCTTTTGCCATCTGCAAAATGGGAATAATGATCTGATCTTCTTGCAGACTTACTGTGAAAACTGCATTGGAGCCCACAGGTGGAAATTCAGACAGAGCCAGCAGCATAAGCACTCACCCAGTGCTGGTTAATATCCTCGCTATTGCAAGGGACAGGAACTGATACTTAGTCAAGAGCATGCTGCCACCTCCTCAAGCTTGCAATCTCTGATTTGCTTGCTTGTTTGTTTTTTAAAACAGGATCTCACTGTGTAGTTCAAACTGGCCTTGAGCTCACAAAGATCCTCCTGCCTCAGCTTCCTGAATGAAGGGATTATAGGTGTGCATCATGACACCCAGACATCCTCTGTTATTATCTTCACTTTCTAACTGAGAACTGAGATTTGGGGACTCCATACAACTATTCACTGGCAAAGTGAAGATCTGGAAGTAGCTGTGTTAGATATCTGCACAGATAAAAATCATCTGAGTGGGTATTTATTCTAGCATTATTGGGACCCTAAAATCTCTCAGCTGTTCCAGAGCAGGGAAAGGTCCCACTGTGGTGGAAATACTCCAGTCTACATGGGCAACCACTCTGCACCACTCGGAATGTGGCTGCTGCAACTGAGGAACTAAAATTAGTGAGTCTGACTTAATTCGAGTAAATTTAAGGGTGAAGAGCCAGTGGTGGCTGCATTAGACACTGCAGGTCTGGATTAGAGTGGGCGCCCTCTTTAACCTGGGAGCCACGTCCCTTCCCAGGCCTTGCTGTCTGCCTGATGGTGACTCAGGACACTTGGTCCTACCCTCACATCTCACATCCCATCCCGGTCTGTATCTCTGTCCCTACATGTCCGCTGATAAACCTGTCTTCCACCAAGTCCTCTGCAGGGCGGATTTCAGCTCCTGCTTCTTCCTTCATCAGGTGGAAACTCCACGAGGCAAGGCCAGAACATTCAGTGTCCTCACCCTTAAACCGATTTGCAGCACACGCTCCCCCAAATCTACCAGCACCCCCAATCCAGGTCCTGATGCTATGGAGGGTTAGTACAGTATTCAAAACAGACATGACCAAGTCTTCCCGGGATATCTAGTCATTTCCAAAGCAGGAATACAAAGAGAATGAGCGAAGATCTTTGCTTTTGCAAGCTGATGGTAAGAAGGAGATGTGATCCAAACTGAAAATACAGGGCAATAGCCCAGCAGCACAGCACTAACAGGCATGACAGCCACTCCAGGTCAAGTTGCAAGGAAAGGCAAGTGCTCCCAGGGTTCCCAAGAGGCAGAGCTGCCTCAAGGCAGACAGAGACAGAGAGCCAACCTTCCCACAGCCAGGCTCCTTCCCCCTGCATCCTCCTCTGGCTGGACGCTTGGCTTCTGTGAGCTGCATGAGCAACTCACTCTCCTCCACCTCCACACTGGCTTTGGCCAAAGTTGACAGCCTGATGGGATAGAGGGCAAGGGGAACAATTTCTGGCCTCCTCTCGGGCAGGATAAGGATGAGCACTGACCTGTTCTGCTGGTGACAGCCCCAGCTCCTACAGGCAGCCTCCGCTCACCACCATGGCTCCCCTGCAGTTCTGGCGAGCCCTTCCCATCACCCCTTCAGGCTTAGACACAGGAGCAGCTCCATGGTTAGCAGGCCCAGCATGTGGTAGCGTCTTGTCTCTCTCCCTGTGCCCACTCACCTGTTTCCTACCAGACCCCCAACAGATGCAGGTCTAGGCTGCATCTTCCGGGAGAAGGAGAAGGACTGATACAGTCAGAGGGGCCAAGAGAAACAGAAGAGGAGGAGAGGAGAGGCCTAGGAGAGAAGGGGCAGAGAAGGGGACGTGAGCAGCTGGCTTGGGTAGGTGGGAAGCTGGGGCCAATCTTAGTGTTTCATGCTTTTTTTCTGAATATTAACTATTTCCAGGCCTAAGTGGCTCCCAAATTATTGGGGGGGCACCAACATAGCTCCTCTTTATAGTTTCATTATTAAAAGCAGTTAAGCCCACAGAGCTATTTTCGTTTGACAGTTTGAGTTATGTGCCTGGAGGAGCTTACATGAAATCTGTTCAATGTTTCAGGTAACATAATTTTTTGAGTAATCATTTGAAATAAACTTTGTTTTTTAAGTCTAAATAAATACAAGCTACACTTGACTATAACTCCACTTCAGCTTCCATGGCAACCACATGAGGAAAATCCCATTAATATTCAAGTCCATTGGCTTAGGGTCAAGTGACCTCCGCAGTACCAACCGCTTCTGCCTGTCAGACAGGGACATTCAAATCCCACCTCTTAGACCCTTATTGGCTAAGCAAACTCGAGGACATATTACACAGTATGTAAGCATACACATAGCACAGGAGAGCCGTACTTGTCAATTTTCTCCCTGCATAATTCAGATTTTTCTCTATTTTAGAAAAAATATGCTGCTAATACATCGCTTGCACCAGATGCCATTTGAACGGAGCGTGGCACGCTGGCAGAGCTCTGTGTGCTGAGATCAGGGCTATTCTCTGGCAGCTCCTGGGACAGCATGTTGACCTCTGCTGTCTTCTTAGCCAAGAGAACGTGGGCGCTTGGCTGGCATTTCCAGGGAGGGGGCTGTCGGAGCCGCTGCTACTTCCCTGGCTGAAGGGACACAGAATTCTTTAATAGCATCACACATCCGTGCATACAGAGCTATGCTAATATCTTAAGACAGAGCTTTTTTTAATCTCCATCTCTGAATGTTTTTTAAAAGACCACTTGGGTTGAATTTTTACCAAGAGCCCATAACACAAAAATGTTCGCATCATCTGCTTCCAGCTGTCATTTCCTGGTATCAGGATGACAGTACTTTCACCTTTAGTCAGTTTTTTTTTTTTAAAAAAATGATTGTATAGGGCTTATTACTCTTTTCACAGATCATTGATAACATTAATTACTTAAATAGACCAAGATTTCAGGATGAAGTGCTATGGTTGATCTGTTTGCATTTTTTTCCTGTTATCCTAATTAATTCATAGAAATGAAGTCCTTGATGAAGAACACACAGAAGGTGAAAGAAACATTCTGGTGATCCGTTAGAACCATTACCAGTTAAATTACTACTTTGTGGGGTAGGGGGAAACCAGTCACTAATGCAAGTGACAAATTCTGTGTATCTGTACCAGGGAGTGTAGAATGATTTAGCAGGTCTATGGGCTTTTTCCCGGAGCGTTACTGTTAGTAGTTTTATTTTTGACAATCCCTGCCCCCGTCTCTGAAGCCGAACATTCTTTCTCCAAATTAAAACCAATTAAAAGCTATTTAAGGAACACTCTGCGACAACAACGTTTAGCAGAATTAACACCCCCGACTGCAGAAACAAGATGGCAGAAGTTGCGAAACTTACCGATGATTTCACTAACGCCAAGTCACAGCAGAGACATTTGAAGTTCACTTCTAATTTTCAAGCATATCTGTGTTGCCTGCTTAGTGCCTGGCACCGACATGTTTTGCAGAATAAGTTTTGAAGTTTGTTCAATGAGTTGTCTGTTATATCAGGCAAGAATGCTCTCCAGTAATGGATACACTTGCCTATTTTATTGTCTACAGGGAAGGCACCCCACTAAACCCTGAATCCAGTTCTGTGAGGATGCTGTCGAATCAAGGAGATTCTAGATGCTTACATGTGCGGAAAGAGAGCAACAGCTAACTCATTCCCTTCCTTAGAAGGCGAAGGAGGAAATTAAATATGTCGCTCATTTCACTCCGGTGTTTATTTTCAGCTTCTAGCCAGCCTCTATGGGAAGAATGTTTAGCGTCCCCTTTTTAACAGGTGCAGGGACTCTGGAAGGTGAGTTGTGTGCTCAAGGCTGAGTAATGTGATAATCCAACCCAGGTCACCCTGGCTTTACAACTTTCATAGAGTCAAGGAAGGCTCAGCCCCATGAATCCAGGGCCAGGAGCTGGTTGGTACCTGCCTTAATGACCACGTGGAAAGGTGAGACCAGGGATGACGTGCTCCCTCCATGCAACCCCTTCGCCTGGCTGCCCCATGGCAGCCAAAGACACCTGTAACTTCTGGTCTCTGATGAGGCTGGTAAGTCAGGCGCTCAAGGGCCCAGCCCAGCACTGGAAAAAGCCTCAGATGTGAGCCTCAGCTCTGTCATTACAGATTGTAGGCTGGGCATAGAAGCCCGCTGCACATGCAAAACACATTTAGAAGGGGATGGGGTGGGGTAGGAAGTGATCCAGCCAACATCAAAGGCTGTCTGGAGGAATAAATTAATTGACCTGTGGAAAAATCCTTGGAAAGGAGCACGTAGACCCTCCTGCAGGCTGCTAAGCCTGCAGTGGAGGGACGCTGGCTCGAGTTCAAGTGCTGCCTCTAGTCTTTGCTGTTCAAAGTCTACCTCACCTGGGAGCCCTGGATCCACTAATTCAGAGTCTGCACGTTGTACCCACTCCAAGTGAGAGACACTGCCAGGGTAAGTGAGCCTCGTTCACTTATTTCTTATTACAAAAATAGAACTGAAAGGCCATCCAATCCAGGAATGGTAAATTCTTGCCTTGAATATAGCAGTCCCTCCCTGTGACCAGGGCAGACATTGCTAATCAATCAAGGAGCACTCTTATTGTACTTGGGAAGCAGCTACATTTTCTTCCTCCATCACAAGGAAGTTGTAGCATTCCTAGCATCCATAGGGACGTGGAACCTACTTACCATTTACTCCTGCCCACGAGGTCTAATACCCCTATTTTCTTTATTCCTAGGCTGACTTTGTCCCTGGTTTTTCTCAACATTCCATCTAGTTTAATATTTACTTCCCATGTAAGTGTTCAATAAATTATATGGTTACATGGGTTGAACAGAAACTGAGATCACCAAGATTCAATGATGCTCCAAAGGTGGAGAATTCTCGCTCTCTGAGTCAACTTTTCCCTTCATGTTGTGTCCCTTTTCTTCTATCCACATCAATGTTTGAGGCTGGCTAGAAACTCACAAAGAACTTCCAGGATCATCCAGATGCACTCGAAAACCAAGCTAGAAGACACCAGAAAGCTTTCTGACTGCTCTGAGACCTTGAGTCACACTTCCATGTCCTCTGGCAGCTCAGTCACAGCTCCTGCATGGAGCTGGAGCTAGCAGCTTTGCCACTGAGGAGAACTGGGGCACCAAGCCTGCATTCCTCTGGCACCCTTCACCCAGCTCCCCACCCTCCAATGCCATTTACAAAGAGCTCCAAAAGAGGACTGATATTCTCAACTTAATTTCTGTTCACATGTAATAGGAGACGAATGCCCCCGCTTAAGCTGTGCCAGTCAGCCAGTGGGAAGTGGCCCAGGTTTTGGAAGGCAAACCATTAAGAACTAGAACACGAGCTGGGCATATATACCAGCTGGATCCAATTTCAAGTGAAAATTAATGGCAAATTCTTGTAACCACATTAAGAGCCATTGTCGTTCATTTGAGATCAGTTAAACATGAAAAAAATATAAAAACCATCTTGAGCTCGCAGAATATAAATGTTTGTCTATATTTTTTTTTTTTTGCCCCTATCCCAGAGAGACCAGGAGATGTGGGCACATTGATGTTCTGTAAACATGCTCACGAAGGGGGAAAAATAAGGAACCTGACTCTTGTGGGGTTAAACTATTTGTCAACTTTTCCATTTCCTCAGTCAGAAGATAATTAAACAGTAAGCAGATGTCAGAATCTAATTGGTTCAAAGAAAGATTGCTCAATGACTTCTGGTGCTTATAATTTCTGTGTACTGTCTGCAAATCGCTCCTTGGTTGGGGCAAGAAGCAGAAAGCCACTCAGTTATTTTCTGTCCCGTGGATGCATGGTCGCCTGACACATCTGCCTACATGTGGTCACTGGGTACCAAGAAGCTGGAAGAACTCCCCTGGAAACGTGCTGTAGGTAAAACCAGAGAGAGGCCATGACTTTTCTAACAAGCAGAGAGAAGGCAAAGAAGAAAGGAGAGGAGAGGAGAGATGGAGATGAAGAAGCATAAGACAGACATGAGGAAAGGGAAGAGCTGACAGGAGAGAGAACAATCAGAAAAGCCTCAGAGAATGGAAACCTCTGCTGAAGGAGAGACCAAATATGGTACAACCGAAAGGGTTTGGCGAGCCAGGTGATTGTGCATACATGTAATCTCAGGCCTCTGGGAGGCTGAGTCAGGAGGAACACACAATCAAGACTAGCCTAGGACCTTGACTCAAAATATAAAATACGAAAGAATTGGGGATGCAGCTCAGTACAAAGCCCTGGGTTCAATTCCCAGTACCACAAAAGGCGAGCGGCATGGTCTTCGGAGTTGAGTCTACAGTTTGCCTTTATTACTTTCCACGGCGGGTCCTTGGGCACTTATTGGACCCCTCGGGTCTGCTCCCTCACCTGAAGACTGAAGGGAGGGACCCCTGCCTTGCTCTTTGTGAGTCTGCTGTGGGATATAAACAGTAGCTACTACAAGTGTTTGGAAGATACGTAACCCTGTACCACTGCCTTGATCGTCCATTACAGGGGGAGACTGGATGAAGGAGCAGAAGGAGTGGAGGGCTGCGTGGTTGGCAGCTTTCCTCTCGTGTTCCTACAGGGTCCCCGGGCTGCTTAGGGTCCACTGTGCTTCTGAGTTTGGAGATAAAGCGCTTTCAGATACTACTCTGGATCTTTCCCCTTAAAATGCACAACACACACACCTACGCACACACATGCGCATGCCACCTGGGCCACCATGCGGCCAGCACAGCCAGGAAGGCCTCAGCTAAGGCTCCTGGTGTGTAACTTACCAGGAAGTCTGTTCCAATAGACCGGCTGGCTCTGAGCTGTGGGCTCACACCTGCCCTGTCTCACATCTAACATCAGTGCACAGCGTGGTCTCGGATCAGCAGAAATCTGCTCTGGGCTCCCGTTGTCCTACTGGAAGTGACACTGAACAGCTTGATCCTGAGAATGGCCACATTTGTGACATCGGGAACGCTCGCTACTTGGCCACTGAAACCTAAGCTAGGAGATGGAATCTCCCCCACCCTTGCCCTACATACCCTTCAGATTCTTCACAGATACTAAGAGTCTCCCACCCTTCTCTCTGGCTTCCAAGTGGACTTGATCAGTGCCAGGACTGAGCAGGGAAGGGGAGGAGAAAGCGTGAGGCAGGTCCTCCTCCTGAACGGCTCCCCCAGCCGATCATAGCTTTTCCTGGAAGGCCGTATCCTTTGGCTTCCCCTGCCACGGTCTTCTCGGGGTCCCTTAGAAGCTACTGTCTATGCTTCTACAGGGCTGGGGGAGGGGATAGCTCCACCATGCCCAGCACTGGGTCCTCACTGAACCCTGGAAGTGCTCCCACTCCCTGAGCACACCCTAGCAAGTAGCCTCTCCGTCCCTAAAGCCTCCTGCAGAGGAGAAGTTGCCAGGGGACCTCTCAGTGATCACACAGGGCCAGGAGGAGAATGAACGGAGGAATCAAAGCAGAAGGTGGACAGCCTTGCAAGGTCAGGCCAGCAGAAGAAGGGCAGTGGTGTAGACAGGCTGCGAGGCGGGAGAGAGGGCACCGAACCAGGGGCGTGATGTGGTTTCGGCCAAGGTCCTGGCACACCCTGCGAAAGGAGGGTGCCCTTGTGTAGAGAAGGAGAGGGATGTGGTTGGCAAAGCCAAGGGAGGCCAGATGGTAGGGATCTGGAGTGTGAGGGCGAAGCCCAAGACTGTCCTGTGGGCAGCAGAAAATGCTGGATGGTTCTTGAGCAAGGGAATGGCCCTGTCGCACTGAGCTATTTTAGGAACATTAATCTGGCAGTGGGGACCAGGTGGTGGTAGTACCATTTGGGTAACCTGATGCACAGGGCGCAAAGGACCCTGCCAAAAGTTACTCACCCACCCCCGCCCCCGCTTCTGAGCAGCAGGGGCCGAGGCAGTACAGACGCTACCCCCAAAGCAACTCAGGCTTCTGCCAGCCCCAAAAGAGCAGACAGGATCGCATCCTGAGTGTGGAAGGGAAAACACATTCTTGGAAGAGTCTCCTCTCAAACCATCCACCCACACCCCCAGAATAAGGGGAAGCAATCTGTTTCTTCTGGCATCTGATTCCAAATGCTCCTGAGGCCAAGAGGACCCAAATGAATTCCTCTGCTTGTGCATGTGAGAACAGCCCAACGGGGACCATCTGTCAGAACGGGCCTCCAGCATGCGTATGGGAACAGTAACCCCCAAAGGGACACTATTTTGGGGTTTCCAGGAAAGCATCCTACAAATGTCCACAGCCACTAGCTGGAGTCCTCTCTCCAGCACTCGGCTTAGGTCTCTGCTACCTGAAGCCAAGGCGATGGGGACCGTGTCACTGATGTCTCAGGGAGGACATGTTTGGGGGTGCAAAGAACTTGAGGGCTTTGGCCATCTGAGTCAGTATAGACCCAATAGAAGGGATGGAAACCCCAAACTTCCTGCAAGAAACTACCCAGGATGGCTTCAAAAGATTGCTTTTCATCACAGAAGGATCTCTGTTTCCTCAGGGGATTCCCAGCATGCCCCAAGGTCGCTTCCTAACTGCACTTGTGGCTCAAGATTAGTATAGCACAGCAGGGAGGCAGGATAGATGTGTGGCCTATGGAGAAAGCAGTTAGGGAGCCTGGATGGAGAAAGAAGAGGCTGCGTCCAAGCTCTGGAAGACTCGAAGATACAGAGGTCCGGTAGCAGAAACAGAGCCAGCAAAGGAGGGCGGGTCAGAGTTGAAAGGAAACTCAAAAACTGAGTATCACAGAGCCTGGGGAGGAAGCAGTCAGGTCATCAAAGGCTCCTGGAGGCAAATATCACATGACAATTACAGAGGTCATTGATGACCATGATAAGAGCATTTCCAGGGGAGTGGGGGAAACAACACTGATTTCCGCCCCTCTCACCTGCTCTGGGCACATATGTCTGCTGCACCCATGGAAGCTGAGAAAGATGCCCAGAGTCATCCAAATGGGGGGGACTTCACCCTGCTCCCCTGCTGCTTGTGACCTGGGGGCCATTGAGGGTGTGGTTGACAGTGGCTGGTGCTGGTGACATTGATTGCAGCGCAGATGGTGATAGTGACTTGGTAGTTGTTCACATGGGAAAGTTAACCATGATGGTGAGATTTGAAAAGGTGACAGTGCTGTAGAATCAGAAAGACCCGGATCTAACAGCTCATCCAGTCCACAAATCAGAAGCTTTTCACCTTTGAGACTCAGTTTACCTTGCTGTAAAATAGTGACCCTGGTTCTGAGGACAACTGTGCGAATGACATAACTGGGAAAGCACCTGCACCCGAAGGTGGGCTGCATCCCTTTGTCTCCAGGGAAACCTTCAAGGAGCAGTGGGATAGGGCTTGAGTCTGGCCATCCCTGCGGGCCCCAGCCGGAGTTCATGCCAACCTTGAGGTCAATGGCCATCTTTGTGCAGCCTGCTCTCCAGCCAACTCACCTCATGCCCACCTCACTCTGGTGACAGTGGCCTGCTGGGATCCCCACCACCACCCAAGAGATTCTAGGTGGAAGAGAGGGAGGAGGAGGACCAAACCTGCTCAGAGAGGGGCGGTACCAGTATAAGAGTTTGGAGTCAAACAGGCCTGGAACGAAGTATTTTCCCTTTTTAAACTCTAGCATCACCTTCTTTACCTGAGCTCAACCATGACCACCTTCCCAAGCATCCTCAAATCCTTCCTAACTCGCTGCATGCTATCCTTACACATTCTGTGTGTCTGTCTTCTTCCACTGGATTACAAACTCTGAAGTTCAGAGATTATTAGGCCTCCTGCTCATTGATGTATCTCAACTCTTCTGTATCTCACTGCATGTTCTCAGAATGAAGAAAGTAACCGCTTAACCATGAGCAACGTAAACGTAAGCAGCTTATCCAGAACTAAACTTGAGCCAGGTCTGTCAGGTTCCAAACCCTTCCCTCCCAACTCCTAGCTCCCCACCTAAGCCCACCCCTCACCCTGGAACTGACCCCAGTTGAAAGCTCACTCTTTAAGGATGCTAGGTCGGTGGAGGATTGGATGCCTCCTGGATTCCAGAGCGGCTCAGTTCTGGTTCAGGCACCTGGTGTAACAAGAAAAATCAGAGCGCTAAGTGGTCCACCCCACCTGGGTTCAGCGAAAGCCTGGTGGATTTTCAGTCTTTCACAGTCCACGCCAGGCTGAAGGGCAGGAAGCAGCTCTGCTCCGCACTTGCTCCAAGGGGTCCACCTACTGGGAAAACACAGGTAAATCAAACAAGTCTGTTTGTTCTCTCAGCACAGCAAACAGAAAACAGGACTCATTCTGCCGCCAGGCCTGCCCTCCAGACCCCAGAGGCGTGATTAAAGTAATGGGAAGACAAATATTTTCTTGGAGAAAATGATAAAACTTGATACACGAAAAGCAAACAGTGCTTTCAAAAGGGCACTGCTCCCCTCCAGCTGTCAGGGAAGATTCCAGAAGGGAGGAAGTATGTGGGATGCGGTTCTTGCCTCAGAGGGACACAGGACGCTGAGAGTTTGTGACCCTGGCAAACAGCTGACCAGGAAGAAGGACCTTTAGTAGGAAGTGTCTGTGTGGAGGTGTGCAAGGGACCGGGCCGGGGCCAGGACACGGCAAGCTTAGGGGTAGCGAGGTGCCCTCCTTTCTCCCTCCTACTGGGAATAGCATGACTGCTGTTGAAGTGGGGAGAATTCCAGCACGGGAGCAGGACAGGCCAGAGCCTGGGCTGCCAGCTGGGTGTGCATGGGTTTGCACGCACTTTCTCGTTCCCCCATTCATTCACACCGTCGCTCAGGCCTCTTGCCCACACTCTGAGCACCAACTGTATACCAGGGCTCCCTGGGACGATAAAGGGTGATGTCCAAAAGAGCCTTAGCACAGTGTCTGGGTCACAGTGGTCACCTCGGGAACCTCCTCTAGTCACTGCTTCCTTCCTCCTGCTCCTTCCTTGCACTCCAGCCAGGAGCCCCCACTGTCCCACCTGCCTGTGCCCATTCTCTCCGGCCTCTTGACCTTTATCCATACTTGTGTGTCTTTGCCACCAGCAGGCCCCACTTGTGGTCCACTGGCACCCAAGCCCAGCAGGTCCCTGACTGACCTGATCACCCCCACTGTCCCCTCAAGCCTGGTCCTCCTGTGGGTGGGTGTCCATGAAAGCACCTGCTCTCACAAGAGCCTTTCGTGGTCCCCCATCCAGGTCACCTACGTGGCAACTATCTTCGCGGGTCACCCAAACCTCAGCTTTCTGCCTTGCTCACTCGGGACTAACCGAGCGCCAGCTTGTCACCTCTCCCTTTTAGGCTTCCTATAGCCTGATGAGATCTTAAAATTTCGCATCAACACTTCTTCCTCCAAGAAGCCCTCCTGGACCTCCTAAGGCTGCATTACCATCTGCCCTGCTCCCTTCCCAAGCACCCAGGCTTGACCAACACATCCCCCGTGCTGGCCGGACCTGCCTCCCATCTGGACAAGAACCTGGCTTGTGCATAGCTGCTTCGTAAGGGCCCACGCAGGGCATAGTGCATGGAGGACTAGGAGAGGCCATGGCCTGTGGTCAGCGCTGGGTCTGAGGTGAGGCGAGATGGGCGTTCTGCCCATGTGGACGAGGACACTCAGCCATCAGCTGGAGTGAGGATGGAAGGAAGCAGGTGACCAGGGCAGCTACCCAGAGGCGGAGATGAACAGTCCGAGAATGGGAGGAGGATGGAAAGTTAGCCAGAGGGAGGGTGGAAGAGGGTCCTGGGCAGAGCGGACCTACAGCACCCTGCAGGAGGCTGCGAGGGCCCTGAGAGGGGCAGGGCAGCTGTGGCCAGGAGGCCTCTGCAGATCTTTCAGGGCCTTTTCTCGCTGGGATGGAGCCACCCTGGGGGTCCTGAGCTGAGCCAGGGGCAGGGGACCAGCATGGCCTGAGGGCTGATGGTCACAAGCTTGGGGAAAAGCAGAAAGATAGATTCAGGACACACAGGGTGGGATCAGCACCACTGGTGACAGATTGGTGGGAAGCACAAGGGAGTGAGGGGTCGGGATAACCTGGGAATGGAGATTCTTTGCTTAAAGGTCCAAGGCCATCCTCAGCCTCCACGCAGAAACAGGAGCGCTGCTGTGAGCAGCAGCCAGCAGGTCGTCTTCCCTCCCAGCAATACAAGCTGTGCTGTAAACCTGCTACTTCTACCCCCAAGGTAAGGGAGACTCTTGACAGACAGCAGGGGACTGAACCAGCGTTTACTGAACACTTACCATGTGCCAGGCCTACTATGGTCGCCACACTTGTGGGTTTCCACTTCCTTGGGCATAATCTATCAAGTGACAGATGTACGATGGCTGAGCAAAGAGCAGACCACCTGGGCTCAAACGCCAGTTCTGCCACTCTCTGCTTTTGTGATCTTGAGCAAATAAGTTCGCTACTCTGAATTTCAGTCTCACCCCCACCCAACAATGAAGATATTGATTATCCCTAGCCCACTGGATTGCATGGGCCTAAAGGTCTGATCACATTTGCAGCATGAGTTCGGGCCACATTATCGATGTCTATGGTCCACAAAGGAGGAGCAGTACCTGGTCACGCGTGGGAGTGGGATTCAGACCAGATCTCTGGGCTGCGGCAGGCGAGTCCTCTTTCTTTTCCCTCCACCTCGCTCCCTGCCATTGCTGCCAGAAGTAGTCACTTTGCTACTTCCTGTCCAGATGGATGAGATGTGTGCATCACGTGAGCTGGCTGCCGGATGGCAGGAAGGGGCACTGAGAGTGGGAGCTTTGATTCTCGGCCAGGCGATACTCACAGAGCACCTACGGCTTGCAAAGCTTTGCGCCAGGTCCCATGGGCCTGTGTCCCTGCCCCCAAGGAACCAGAAGTTGGCTTGGGAATACGAGACACATGGAAATGAACCCACGAATTGTCAATCAATGCCAACCAGAGAAATTCACACCTATTGTGTTTCTTCATGTTGTAAGCTTACCCCTAACTATGAAAACCACTGTCCAACCAAAGGCCTGCCTCGGATGAAGATGAGGAGCAGCCAGGCAGCATCCTGACTTGGCAGCAGGCCATGTGAAGAAGACCCAGAGGTTTTAGGTAACCCCAGAGCTCCCCATGAGGAGCTGCGGCTGCAGCTGCCTCCAGAGTAAATGCGACCCTGGGGTCAGAGATGGAGGTGTAAGGTTCGGGTCAACGGAGGCTACAGGCACAGGGCTCAGACTTCGTTTGGAAAAGTACCAGCCCTGGGTGCCACATTTCACTGGGGACGCAGACCAAGAATGTCACCCAAGAGTTGCGCATTCAGGGAACCATGGCCTTTGAAGTATCATCCTCTGATATGTGACCTGGGACCGGTCAGGGGTCAGAGAGGGTGGCTGGGTGTGGGTGCCATCTTCAGATACCTGTCCTGCGTCTGTTGGCCTCAGGCCAGCAACCCAGAGCCAGCTCCCCTACCTGACCAAGTGGGGCCACCTTAGCAGGTGCACTTCCTTGAGCCCCCTTGTCCCTGCCTGAAAGGTGACAATCATCAGTCCCTGGGGGATCGTGAAGATCGAATGACACAGCAGAGCTGCATATGTAGTGGTGTCCGGGAAGTTTGTCTCCTTCATTCCCTGAGTTACTGAAGTCCTACACTGAAAGCAGGAACATCATCCCTGGGAGGAGGCATGGAAGGACTTGGGTACCCACTGCACACATGCAGAGGACAGAGTCCTGATGCAGCAGGCCCTGAAGACTCCAGGACGCAGCAGGAGGCTCTGCAGAGGGCACTCAAGGAGCCGGGGGTGTGAGATCAGCTCTCAGGAATGAGCAGCTCAGAGGAGGGGAATAGCAGGGCTCCCTGGGGACTGCTTCTCCCAGCTTCACGGCTGCTTTGGGGACCCAGCGTTCCACCCCACACCCCCAGCCATCCGCTGACTCCACGGAAACAGCCATCTCTAGGAGCTGGGTTCGAGTGCCCCAGAAGCCAACGTTGAGACAAGGTCACGGTGCCTGTAGTCTAACTGAGAGGTGATTCCAGGAGGACAGGACTCGGGGGCACAGGCAGAGGGAGACTGGAAGGGATGAACTCTGATCGAGCGTGGCCAGCGGGCAGGTGGCCAAGCGTGGCTGAACTCAGTACCTCTGTTTTGGGGGCAGATGCATTTTGATGTTCTTGTTTTCTAAAATATATTTATTATTCATGCCCTACTAATTTTACAAAACACTGGATTTCAGCATGCATTTTCATCCATGCTGGTGACATATTTTGAGGGGACCACCCTCATTTCTCTCTCCCCTCCTTGTTCTCTGCCTCTTGTCTCAGAAGAGTCACCCTTCTCCTCTTATGCCATCTTCTTTATTAGAGTCCAGATATTAAGGACACATGAAATACGTGTTTTTCTGACTCCGGCTTATTTCACTTCACATCATGATTTCAAGTACTATCAATTTTCTTGCGAGTGACATATTTCCCATTTTGGGGAGACTCTCTTTGAGGTGGGGTCTCCCTACACAGTTCAGACTGGTCTTAAGCTCACTTTGAGATGGAATCTTTCGATTTGCATTTCTCTAATGGTTACAAATGTTGAGCACTTTTTCATAGAGCAACTGGCCGTGAGCTCTTCTGTTGAGAAGTGCCTATTCAATTCGTTCGTTCATTGGTCGAGCTGGTTGTTTTCCTGGTGTGACAGTTTTGGTTCTTTATATATGTTGCATATGAGTCCTCTGGTAAGGACTCCTCCCATTCTCTAGGCTGTCTCTGCATTGTGTTCCTTGTTCCCCTGGCTCTGAAGAAAGTTCCTGATTTTCTGTAGCCCCACAGTACTTCTTTGATCTAAATTTGTCTTCATAAAGATTGCAGAACAATTTCAGTATGGATTTGTTCATACAGACTGTTCCAGTGATGCAAAAACCCCATTTGTTGATTCTCACTGCTTTTCCTTATGCTCTTGGAGTTCTATCAGGAACTCTTTGCATGTGTCTGTGGTTTCAAGTGCTTCTCCTCTGTTTTCTTCTAGAAGTTCCAAAGTTTTGGGACTTATTCCTAGATCTTTGACCCACTTTGAATTGGTTTTTGTAGAGGATGAGAGGTAGGAATCTATTTCAGTCTCTACATATGGATCCCAGCTTTTCCAGCAGTCTTCACTAAAGAGCTGGCTTTTCTTTGTGGTATGTTCTTGGCCTCTTTTATCAATGGCTGTCCTTGTGTTTCCATTCTATCATCGGTCTATCTGTCCTTTTTTATGCCAGTACCATACTGGTGTTGTTACTATTT